TACCCCTCCTAAAATGCTCATTCTCAACGGACTTTTGATTCCCTCCCGAAGTGAGAGAGATGTGTCATAGATATTCCTGCACATGGTACCAAATGGCTAAAGCTAGCAAACTGTGTTTCCATTCGCCAATCTTTCCCCTAGGAATTGTATTTAGTTGCAATCCTTTTGCAGTTTGTAAGACCCATTCTGGAATATTGACCGAAACACGCCTCACAGTATCCACAGGCATGCCAGACAGCTGTGGAGAATGTTCAGCTCTTATTCACTAAGCACCTGTCTCCGGCGTCATCCATGCTACCAAACCGTCCTCGATGTTTTTTACTTGGGCTGGATCCTTTATAGCCGAAGCCAATTAGGTTATGCCTAGGCCTTCTTAATTGCTCAATCTACCGACTGGCGTGTTGAGTTTTCTTCCGGCCTTCTCTACAATGTCCGTAACTCTGGAGGTTTTCTCCCATTCTCGACCCTGTCGACCTGTCCACGTTTCCCTTTCCTGTGTTTGCAAACTATGGAGCAAGCTCCTCTCCCATATCTACACTATATTATCTCGTATAGGCTTTCAAAATGCCCTCCGTTCTTCCTTTTCATATGAGGGAGCTGAGCGCCCTTTTGCACCACATCTTACACAGACACTTTTCAAAAAGGTCTTAAGCACTTTTATGTTGTGCATTCACAGCAACTGTTCTAATATTTGGTCTGGCATGTACACTTGCCAGCTTGAGCCCTCCAACGTTAAACAGCAAACGAGCCAACTTCCCTGACAGGTGTTCTTGGCCATTAATTGTCCTCTTACCTATCTCTTAAGCAAGAGTTTTATTTCCCGAAACTACATGTGCGCTTGCTCTCTGAAGTGCAGATCTGTTGCCGAGTATCTACCGCCCGCAAACGTAGCTGCCCATATCCACCGACTGCGCAATATTTATTTACCTTGGGTCCTAAGCTTATGTGCCCACACGACTGATTCTCCGTCTTTTCAAGCCGGGTCCCATCCCAAGGTAACTCTCTCAGCTCTGTTTGAGGTCTAGAGCCGTGCTTCACCAAGGTCTAACCAAAGTAAACGAAACGGAAACCTAATTCCCCCTTATTCACTCTCCAAAACCATTCAGCATCCTCTGACCACACGCAGTGGACTCACACCAAATAGCGAATGTGGAGATGCATAATGGATAACATGCTTGTCTGGTTCCACAGTCTATTAAGTTACACACACAACATTGTGATGCGCTGCTGTCTGACATGGCGGTTTACACCCATGCTTGTCGTCGTATGACTAGTGCACAGGCTCAGAACATCTCTATACTACTTCCATGGCCCAAATAGTATCTCCTGTTTCATTAACCTCCTCGAGCTGCCACTTTCCGTAGCCAATCACTGTTTGCTTGGTCGAGCTGACTGACCTATTTTGCTGGTCCGGCCTTTCCTCGACCGGATAAAAGGTATCCAGTAGTTAGTTTTTCATTATCGCACCAACCGCAATTATGACTCCTAGGTGGTTTATCACTTTGAAAATTTGGTAACATGCACGCGGGATGAAAACCTCGAGTGGTAGACGGGTACGCCCTGGAGGGAGGCCGACCCGTTACGTTGCACCGTGGTGCGTTCGCAAACTTTCCACTCCTCATGTAACACGGGAGTATCGCCCATCGCTGATGGTTCTGAACCTGGTTTTTAATTCGGGAAATTCATGAAAGTGAACCTTTGTTGTTTGTTTGTATTCGCCGGTTCCGAATCGTCCCGGTTTTTGTTTATCTTGCAACGCCAAGGAATACGAGCAAAAGACAGTTGCCCTTTCGTATTATTTTCTAAACGCATGGGGTGGCCCGAAGATACTCTTCAAGGCCTGTGGCTAACGTAAACGTGCAAGGCTGTTGCCGTCTTCGTCTTAGTTGGGTTTACACCACCTCAAGTCGATTTCATCAGCCAGACTTGACGCACACGTTCAGCTATCTTGTTCCCTGAAGTGATCATATACATAAATACAATGACATTATCGACTGCAGATCAGCGGTCACGGTTAGCGCCTGCTGGCTGTTTTTGCCATTCATCATACTCTCTTGGAGCTGTCAGTAGTGACTCGGTGTCTTGTGACCCATACTCTTACCTTTCTGTTTAGTCCGCGAGGTACATTCAAGTTAAACTACAGTCCCTACCCACTACCTCGGATGTTGTCGCTCGATCGTTCATTATTAGTTTGCTGTCCCTGTTCACATCAAACCCCTGCTTTCTTGCATAAGAGAGACCTTACAATTGGATTCCTCAACTAGCGTGAAAACTACCACCACTCCCTATCCAACTCACCATGTAATCGCCCGTTCCAGCTAGTCTGACGACTAGCCCTTCTGCCCGCTACCTCAGTGACTAGGTCCCTAGCTACCCAAAATTAGGCACCTACTCTCACCCTGGCCATCTGATAGACTGACGCCTGGTGCGAAAACAGGACACAACTCTCACTACAAATGACAGTCTCTTGCATCGCTATCGAAAGGTATCGCATACATGCCGAACCAATACTGACTCGTTGTTCCCCAGCAATACATCGTCCACCTCAACTAGTCCTTGATTTCTAGATCAGCCAACAAAAATCTACCCTTTCGTAAGTTTATTTTGCTTTCTGTTACCCCCTTTTAGATATTTTCCCATTGGATTTTCTTTTTATCTCATGCCTCCAAGGACTCATCAGACACTATTACTCTCAGCCTATTCCTTCCTCATTTCCACCCTTCCCTAGGTTCAAACATCGGTTGTAGGTTCTCCAAATGCCCCGTATAGCAGTAATGCATTCAATCTGGCTGGTCCCCGGTCTACACCCACAAGATTCGCCCACATGAACCCGACTCTACCTGTGTCAGTTTCCCCTTCCAAACCAGACCCAGGTGCCACGGAAATGCTTATCCCCTGTCCGATTGCGGCAACCTTAATGACCGTTACAGTGCTGCCCAGAAACCGAAGCAATTTAGTCCAGTGATGACATGACACTGCCACGTCCAGTTAGATGGCACTCCCGCGACTATTTTTTTGTACCCTCGACGGCCACCTGTCACCCATTCCAGCCTGTTACTGCAACTACGAACAAGTTTTTCAGCCAGTCCCAACCACCCCTGGTGTAAGTTTGTTCTAACCCACTGAGCCTTTCATGTGGATTTAACCTTCCTGGTTTTCCACAGGTTCAGTTTAATTTACGGTGTTCATTTGGTCCTATGTATTGGCACTATTGCCCCATGGAAACTATGCTTTGCACTTTATGCTTCTTGTGACCTGACCACTTACTCAACCGCCCAAAATCACTCACGACCTGAAATGATTTTCAGTTTTATTTCATGTCAGTCGGCTTCATCATTGAACTAGTCGTACCTCATGTTGATTTTCCTTGTTTTTTGGTTTCCACAACAGCGCGGACTTTTCACGTTGGTTGAACCTTCCTCTCCGTTGAGTTGTCGCTCACCGGGTCCAGGTTGTATTGACCCAATCCTGCCTCAATAGGCATGTCCTCTACAAGTTAGGCAATGAACTGATTCTTATTCTTATTATTATTATATTATTATTAATTACAACGAAGAAGCATGCAAGCTTGGTCCCTGGGGTACAGAAAGCAGGAATGGCCCTAGATTTGCATGATCGTTGAGCTGCAGATTGAATGATTTGAAGAGCAAACAACGTAGAACGATTGGCATCCCGGCAAAAATATCCGACCGCTTCTGGGTGTTTTAAGCATGCGCAATGAAGAAATCTGACCAACCTTACAGAGAATTCGGTTGATCCGAGTGAAAGTATGCGAAGCATGCCAGTGAATGCTTTTATGGCCGATACTGAGGAAGAATACATAGAATTTGTGGTAATCAATGATTCGTTTAATATGATTGGAAGCCCGATGCCAACGTATCAAGCCTTCACACAAGACAAAAGGCCATGCATCTCAAGGCATTGTTAGAATCTAGGCTAGTGATCCGTCTCATGAGAAATGGCCAAGGAGGATTTAATTGCTATTATGGCCAGCTGTTTTACCAGGCACGCAGTTGCTGTATCAAATTGAACGATCACCGCCGTTAGCAGCAAACTTCATTTTCCACAAATAGGTATGTCGGGGTTCTACAGGTCAGCCTCAATGACAGAGATTGTAGCCATCAAAGAAGCTCTGCTTTCGATTTATCCCAGTTACCACAAATTGACAGGACACAAGTGAAGAAATGGGTATGTGAAAAAATCATTCGGACGCTAAAATCCCATTAAACTTAGGTAACTATATCATATGTCCACGCAGTGAACCTGCGGGATGAACTCCTTTCATCCCGTAAACAGGGCGCAAAACCCGACTGTACAGGGGATCACATATTCACAAGGACCTCATATGGCAAAAATATTGCTTGTTGGGGACAATTCTACCTTTGGTGCACTCGTCAAGTTCTATTGGGAATGAAAGCATTTATTTGTACTGGAGAAAACATCAGAAGTCCCTATCCCGTGGCAGAAAGAAGCAAGTGATGATTTATCTGAACCAGCAGAGTCTGTATGGCTCTGACTGACGACTAGCGGGATGCTGTGGACGCCAAAACGGACGCATTACGTTGATGTGGCTTAACAAGGCACTAGGACGTTTCCAGACATTAGGATAGATCACAAAGTGCAGATTTTGTTAACTGCACTTCGTGTATTCTTCTAAGTTCTCCTTCTGCTCGTATCCCAAATGAAGCCCCACTCTTAAAGAAACTAAATTATTTGGACTTGGGTGAAAAGTACTGCATTTGACGAGTGGGGTGTTGCAAACAAACAGAAGACTGACGAGTAAACTTGAGGACAGAAATTTAATTGCAATTTTCTCCTGTTTTGTGAAATTGGTAGAATAGAAGTGGATAAAAGATATCTGGTGCGAATTATGCGGGGTGTTCGAAGGCACATAGTGTCGGCTTTCTCTTTCACCACTGGCTCGATAGGCGTATTATACTAAATTATACAATCAATTCGGTGTTAACTAGAACGTGTTCTTTGTTGCGCATTTGTTTTTTTTACCTGACCGGTGGCTGTAAATGAAGAAAAATGTTAGCATACGATGAGCCTTTACATCCAATTGTAGATGGTCTAAGAAACATAACACGGTAGATATGATTTCAGTAGGGTCTGAGCTTTTGCTTTGCGGAGCGCAAAAAGAAATCGAAATAGCTAGGTTTCCAGGGTTAGGGAGTTCGCACTAATGTGGGGAAAGATGATGAGGTTGAAAGATATCCGACTGCAACAGCAAACAAATGATCGTTTCCTGAATTTTGCCAACACCTCAAAGTAAAAAAAGTGTTATTACCGGGAGTTAGAGTTGTGAGCTGTCCGAAAAAATCAGGATCCTGATTCAGCTTGATTTAAATTAAATTTTCTGGACGAGTATGGTTCTCTGTGTTACCGATGCGGCTGTAATTTCACCGTATTAAGGGAATTTGATAAAACTGCACAACTATGAGCAACCAGCATGTCATCTTTCAAGGCGCTAGCGGGTATCTGCAGGCCGGTTGAAGCAGATCAAACAGAAGAATGCAGCAAAAGGTGCTAGTAAGAAGTGATTCAAAGTTTTGTGGCATACACAAGGAGTACACACACTTTATATGATGATCTGGCGATATATAGTCGCTCCTGGAATACCCTAGCACACCTGAGGTGATAGTGGTTATGCCGTCTCATGCAGCAGTCTTGTAAATGCGAACGCAATAGGATATTCCTCATGTGTCCCTGTTATGAAAGTGATCCCTTAAAGTAGGCAAAGTGGCCTTCATTGTTAATTATTGATGGATTAGGTTGCCATGACTGAATAGGAGTAACAGCAGAATGAGGAAGCTTGGTAATTTTTGGTTGAGATTTTGTCCTTTCAGTGATACCCGTCTTTGTTAAAAACCCATCCTAACAGGGAATAATCAGCAGTGTGTATCTCGCAAAAACCTGAGACATACCGGTGATTTGTTAGACACTAATCGTTTGACTTGGTAGAATATGTCTACAATTCACATGAGAACGTCGTGAAAACAAGGATTCCCCACGTTTTGAGCGATTGCCTCAATGTCGCAGAAAATTAAGGAAAATGATTACAAGCTACTTAACACCTTTAAGCAGTTGAAAGAAGGAGGTAAACAAATTAAATATCGACCACTGCGTCGTATTTTTACACCTTTTTTTTCTCACGCCATCAGAGTCACACCAACATATCAAAACAAGGTGAAGTATCCCCTTAAGATGTATTTGCTTATCGCTGGAATTTTCGGTGTGCCTGATGACATACTGTCGATGGTAGTGAACTGCGAACATCTGCCATTCCATCGTTCGATGTCTGTGTTCGAAATTGATTCGTCCGCCGCGTGCACCAGATGTGAAACTGCTTCTTAAAAGACAAATACTGGTGGTAGGGGAAGTGTTGTTTCTACGTACTGGTCAATGATCGGTTGAGTAGTACATGAGCAAATTTAAATTCGGCCTTTAAAGAAATCTTTGGTGCAGCACACATGAGCCTAATCCAGAGGAAACATTCTCAAAAAGCTCACTAGTATTCACACAAACTCCCCTTCCGTTAAGGCAATTTGTCAGTTTTCTTGGGGTATATCGGAGCCCTCTTTATCTGCAGAAGATATTCGACACCATCAAAGCGAATAACAGAACACATACCATATTGTTATTCAAGAATTAGCGTAAATATCCTCAGAACGGGGGTTAAAGTGGGACCAACCTTGTCTGGTTCGGGACTCTTACCACAAACCGTTCACCATACGCATTAAAAGACTGTGTTCCAGGTGCCGTTCTTTAGACCGACACTCACAGTTGTTATTCCTCAGCCAGCCCCCACGAAACAAAGTTCATTCCACTAAAATGTTTTGCAGCAATGCCCTTGGTTGCTGTGATTTGGATCACGTGGTATGTAATTTTCTGTAATTTCAAATCTATTAGTAACACTTATTTATATTTACTCAGTATGTTGTACATCTCGTGGCTGGTAACAGTTAATGAAATGCTAATATACGAATACCTTCTCTGTATACAGATGTGTTAGACAGGAGAGACTCAGTCTTTCGAGTTTCTGTCACTGATATTGTTGCTACCGTTAAGCTTGCATCATGTGGTCTTAACACAAAAACGTATTTAGCTTTTTGAGCTTAGTTATTTGCTTTCTTAGAACAACATACTTACTTTAATAGCCTTATCCCTCTGGGTGCATCGAAAACTGCTAGCCACGTTCTTCGAGCTTGATAACGCTAGGCAAGTGGTAACTTTACAGCATAAAAGTTCATTATCGAACAAGGAAAAATAATTATGCGGTTTGAATATTATAAACACTGAAGCAGTAGTATGTGTAACGGCCGCGTGCATGGTTCTGTAGTAAAGAATGTTGCAGTAAGAATAATCGATCCGGAAGCGCTTTTTCGGTTCAAAGTATACATAGGCCGATCGATCGGAAGCTTGGAGACTCGTTTTATTTGCATCAACGGTAAGTAGTTAGCGACTGATTGTCTTGTAGACACGGCTCATTTGGGAAAACACTCCATTGCTTTACTACTGAATTTTCACAAGAAGAATAAAGTTGGTACCAAGATTATCAGCAGACTTATCCACTTGGGGAAGTTGGAAACCTCAAAAATTTGCTAACTTGAACATAAACTTGAAGTGCGTATCTAGACTAGACGCGTTGCTCAAAATCTTTCAATATCTAAAATCTCGTAGTTTCGAAGAGGTTGTTTTTTGGTTTTCCCAACTGATAGGTGTGTGGAGTGAGAGTATCCACTCTTCCGCTGTCGATGATGTTGGAAAGCCTCCTGAGCATTTTCGAGGGAAAATGCGCCGCCCGACCAGAGAGCCTGTCTTCTTTCATCCAAGCAAGATGAAAGGATGTCACATTCTTTGTTCATTAAGTCATTAACACTGTCTGTGATGCATATAAGGAACAGAATGAATAGATATCGACAGAAAGCGCCGTAACTTCAGAGGTTGCATGATCGCGCTTGTTGCTATGATCATCAGGATAAAAAATTCAGCTTCGTCTAGCTCAAGATCAAGTGTCAGCCCTCCACACAAGTATTGTTGAAATACAAAAAGTAGGAAGCAGTGGATAATAAGCTTTTTAGACTCACAATTAACTAATAACTGGTCATTCTCCGCATTCACCTGTCTACCTGGATTCTAAATCTTTCCCATGATTTAACTTCTCTAGATGACCCGCATTCACCTGTCTACCTGGATTCTAAATCTCTCTCATGATTTAACTTCTCTAGATGACCCGTGTGGCACCACTTGGCTTAGTTATTGGTCTATTCATTGAGCTTGGCAGTTGGATTGCGAGCGTTTCATCGCCAGTCGCAGCGGCATCGTCAGTGCAAGGTTGCGTGATGTCCAGTCAACCGCGTAGACGAGCACAGCGAACCCGAATTACCTATATTATGCACACACGTGCGGAGCACTCACTCCAAATGAAACAATGAAAAATTCCAATTGGAATACGATCTACTGACTTCATAGTTGGGTCATCCTTAAACTACAACTCCTGAGACCTATGTGTGTGGGTGGGTGGGTGGATGCGAATGTGATAAATCTTGGAATGTCACAACTCACGTCTCTTATCAGTTCTAATAAGTATACAAGGAGTTGGAAATTTCAGTCAGGCATTTCATTTGCAACCGAAACCAATCTGTGCTGAAAAGCAGCAAAGCACTGTTCAGCCAACTCAGCCTTGGTGGTAATAACCGGCAGTGTACATATCGGGAATCTATTGGAAGAGTCAAACCCGTGACCTCCGGGTTATTGGCTACATCGACCAATCATATTTGTGAGTTTCGAATCTCTCCATTCGGAGATTCTCTAAGCAGTTCAAATGGAAGAATAATTCGCAAACATTTCGAACCTATAAGCTTTGTGAACGCCTTCAAGAGAATGTCAACTGACGAAAGACAAGCAAATGACAAAAGGCTCAAACCGGCGGCCAAAGACGCTGAGAAGAATATTTGCGTTGGTCAGCCTCAGAAGGATGCGGAAGGGCGAAATTCCGGGGATACTGAATGCAGGGTGGAAAGTCCTCACCGGCGTGCAGGAACAGGAAGGCTTGTTTGTGCGCCAGTTGATGTCGATGCATTTGACGCCGTTGATATACATTATTCAGAAATAGGAGCTCCAGAGGTAGAATATTCATTTGAGATGAGATGCAGTCTCATAGAGGCAATCTCGATAGCACCAAAGCAACATGACCGGGTTAATTGTATCTTCTTATGTTCAAGAAACTTTCTTCCACGACTGAAGCACTCCTGGCACGCACATAGAACCGGTAAGGAAAAACAAGGGACATTACGAAGAAGTTAGGTATAAGGCCAATAAAACTATTTCCATAAGTTTTCCTTGGCTTTTCAGCATAGATTGGCTTCACTTACAGGGTGAAATCTCCACAAAATTTCCGAAAGCATATAAGTGGTGAGGCCCCAGGGACCACAGTCTGATATGTGAGAAAAGGATGGCTCTTAAGACCCTAGAAAGAATAGTCAAATGAGAATTGGACGCGCTTCTGTGCATGCACGAGACACCTAATCAGGCACAACGCGGGTTCATGGGTTGCAGGTCCTCATTAACTGCCGCTTAATCTTCGTAAGAAAAGAGGGATCGTCGCCAGACCTTACACAGACTGTTTGCTAGTTTCATCGTGGCCATTTTGCGGAGTGAAACGCATCACGCTTCACATGTAGTTCAACCGGCCGAAATCCATGAATCGCAGTACAAGTAGATGTCTTTGTTCGACAAGATGTGGAAAATGTGAGTCAGCGGTGTCTTTTCGAACGGAGGCAGACCACTGTTTGGGTATCACAAGGAGTTGTTCCCGGACTCAAAAAAGTTCACATGTAATTTAGGATGGCCGCCAGATTGTCATTCGTGGAGCTGTCTGCTACTCATGAGATATGTAAAGCTATGGAGAGAGAGATAGGTTCCACTGAATATTGGTGGGAAACTAAGAGTGATCTAAACAGTCTGGCTGACTGATATCGGAAATTTGAAATGCTCCTTAAGATGATCAATTTGGGCTAATTACGGTGGAGTGCACGTGCGAAACCAAAAGTAATCGTATCGGATGTAAGGATTTCAATGGTGCGGATGGCACTGGACCTGGGAGTTTGCTGATGCGGGAAAATCTCAAAGCGCACCCGCACACTGCGTTAACGAGAAAGAAAAGGCATAGGGCCTGTGGATATTCATGGGCAAATTTCACACACTGAGTCCTAAATTACTCAGCTTGCTAAACTCGACGTTCATCCAGCCAGCAGTGGAGTATGCACATTCCGTCTAATTCTCATGCACGAAAAGCGAGGAACAACAACTGGAGCAAATATGGACACCAGAATGCCAGTCGGGACTCAGGGACTACCCTCAGAAAAACGGCACCAAATAATGAAGCTTCTATGCTTCTTTGAATGTAGACGCCACAGTGCGGACTCACTGTTTCTATTCAGGGTCGTTACAGTATAAAAATATCCGGAGCTACCGAACTCGTTCTCATCTACACGTGTCACACAAACAAGAAGCCGAAGTTAAAAAGTGGAATTTCAGCGGACTCGCGGTCTGCCATATGTCTGTGGACCAACTCCCCAGAAGACCAATCAGGGCGTGGAACGAACTTTCTCCTAGGCTATATCAGTAGACCAGTGCAAATATATGCTGGACTAGCACCTCGTTGGAATTTCCGGGCGCTATGGGGAAAAGATCTCATCAGTCATAACACCCCGAACTTTGAGGAGATACGAGCGAAGGAAGCGACCACGTGTTCTCTAATAGTTAGAATCGGAAAAAATCTTCCGTCCGAGAAGTCGTAATTCGAGGGGCTATTCAACAAATTGCCGGAAGGCATGAATTGCATAGTTAAAGGATAGTTTGCACTATCTCTTGATTATGTACAAGTTAATCACACTGCAGCTGAGCGACTCGTTTTCGGAAGTCATGGGTTTGAATCTTCTCAGGGATTTCTGAAATATGCATCACCGTTGGTTCCCAATAAGCGCAAGGCAGCTACACACTGCTTATCGACTTCTCCCTATTGGTTGACCTCACAGGATTCAATTTTGATTACAACGTAACTATTTAGACAAAGGCACTCAGGGCGCACACGGGCATTGCAACTAGATTGAATGAGAATAAAACAGAAGCTGAACACCAAAATATCATGAAATCCTGCCAGTCGTTAAAACGGAGCTTGGTTTACACTTTTTCCGTGAGTTCAGTCACAAGCAAAAGAGGCTGGCGTTTGGCGATTGTTCATGTTCAGTGAGAACTCATTCCACGCTACTTCTAGCAAAGCATGCACAATTTATTGGCCAGTTTTGAGACGGAATCTAAGATTAGCAAGTTTATTAACTGTTATCCTGAGGAGAATCAGGATGATATTAACTATGAGGGAATCCACCAAGCCTCCAAGACCAACAACGCCACCCTGTAAGTCGTCTGAGGAGGGTGACATCCTTACTCACTGTTAGTGATTCCACTAAATACCGTGTGATCAGTAAAGGAAGCAGTCAATAAAAAAGCTAAAGAGGGTCAAACAAAGCCTATTTTTGTGATTTCCTACTCAGTCCATCTTCATGGCAAAAAGCGCGAATACACTAAGTAGGAGCAGTCCCCAATTTTCCGTCAACCTTATGTTCTACTTGAAACCGAATTGCACGAAATTAGCGAAATACACTCATTTGCAAACTAATTTGGTTCTGCGAGACACTCACCCGGAACCCAGCTGAATCTCTCGTTTGTGATGCTTCCAGGAGACTGCGTCTAACTGATGAGCCCCAAGAAGGGAGAAACCGATCGTGGGCTGTCGACGAAGTTCCAGCATCTCTATGAGTAGTGCATTACGAATATACATGTATCGCGATATCTCGAATATCGTAGCGACTGAAACATAAGGCGGCCTAGTTTGGCACATTCAGTTGCCCGGAAACATCACAAACGAGGGATTCAGCTGGCTTCCATTCGAGTCTCTCGAAAAACCAAATTAGTTTGCAAATGAGTGTATTTCGAGAATAAGCTTACACTACTGGAAACCCATCTCACACGAGCAAAAAAATATATCCTTGATAGTTTTCCCACCAAAGAAATTTACACTCTCAAGAAAGAATTCTCTTTTTTTAATTTCTAAACCGGCTCTGTAACTCAAATGCATTTTGGGACCCCTGCTAAAATATCGATTAAAATTTTCAGAAATGTGAGTTTCCTGATATCTAGAGATCCATTACTGATTGTTTTATATTGTATGTAGTGACGAAATTTCCCAGCATATTCAAAATTCGGGTAAGGACTGGCCAGATATAGAATTGAGTCAGAAACGCTTGGAAGATAGCCCAATAAATATACTTGACTGCTGGTTTGATAAATAGCGTTGACGGGGATTAATTTGCTCCACAAAGTATTTCAAAAATTGTTCTGGTCTACTTAATACAATATTTAGACGATGAATGACTGTGAGTGTGAGCTGCTCAACGAGAATAAGGCCATGCAATAAAGGTGTTTTGTGTACTTGTTTCCTGAAGAGCGTAAAACTCCAAAAGTTCAAGCTCTTTATGCCCCTGTTCTGAGATTTTCTCCCAAATTTTCCAGGCCCCTATTTGAATGTCGCAAACTGTTCACAGTGACTGAATTAATCAGATTCCATAACGAGAGCAAGAATGGTGGCCGGAATGGAACATTTTGGAGGTTTTATTTTCATTTTATTTTCATATTTATTTTGATTTTTTAATTTTATTTTATTTCTGCTTAGACAGGAACTGTAAAATTTTGCCTAAAAATATATTTCATTTTTCTTAAATGGAGGCATGTTTTGTACTAAAAGTTTCTGCGAAATCTGGATTTACCGATCGCTTGGTGAATTTTAAAATACGTTTATCCAGAGTTTTTGGAGCAGGTAAAACGATGATGTCGATATTTGAGCACAGGACTTTCTTATAAATAAACGATGAGCACGAATTTTCGTAGTAGGACCTTGAATCCCGGACGGTTTCGAAGTACTTGCAGACGATTTGCGCGGTTCTCAAGATCTTGGTTCCAGCTCGTCAAGTTTCCCTCAATAAGAGATATTTTTGCAGGCTTTCATTGGCACTCCGTTAAGGAAAGTAGACACAACCCACAACCGGCTTCTTCCTTCTCAGCTAGACGCAGTCCCCGAGTTTCCGTTCAACGTATGTTCTACTTGAGTCCCAATAGAACAGACTTCGTCAAATACATTCATATGCTTATCGATTTGTTTTTGACGAGAGACTCGCCTGAAGCCCAGCCGAATCTATCGTTTATGATGTTTCTTTAAGCAACTGAATGTGCTGCCTCAGGCCGCCTCCTGTTTAAGTTGGTACGATATTCGAAATATCGCATTATATTTCCATGGAGGAAACTACTCACAAGGTCGCTGAAAACACTTCGACAACCCAAGATCGTCTTCGCCCTTTTTGGGAAAGTACGAGACTATACTATGATATCTGGAATACCGCACTAATTGAAACGAGGTTGCTTTTGTACAGCACATTTATTTGAAGGACACCATAAAACAGGAGTTTCAGTTGAGTCTCCCGAGAAAACCAAACTGAGCGACTGTAGTTACTGACTTTCTGTATCTGATTTAGCCTCATTAAACTGAGTGTCCGTAATTACCGGAAAGCTCGGCAGATCTGAAAGACAAAAAGTGGAAGAAGCGACTGAGTGCTTTAAACGTTTGTAGATTCTTTCACTTGACCCGTTTGACGAGTTCTCGGAAAACTCTTGTCAACAAAATCATCAAGGGCTAAAATGGCACTCTGACATCCAGAATAAAAGAACGTCAACATCCCGATTTTCAACTTGTTGTCTGTATCTGTAGTGCGCAGACGACATCGCTTTCATCTTTGAAGATGAAGGCGGAGCACAATTCCTGTTGAATGGAATGATCTTGTCCCACANCAGCAAGCACCTTAAAATTCAAGGAGCAAAGTCTTGTTTCAGAAAGTGCATTTCTCTTACAATCCAAGATTATGGGGAGTTTTATACACTTTGGTAACTGCTTTGACGGAGGTGTGTCTGATGAAGTCACTGCAAGAATCTCGGTGGTCGGAACCACGTTTGTCAACTTGGTAACTTGTCAAAAGGTCATATCACTGGGCCAGGCAACAGTAAGGGCTGTGTTGTTGTATGCTTGATAGACGCGGTGTATGTTGACAGATGACTTGAGGTATCTTCAGGTTTTCGAACATCGATATTTAAGAAGCGTCTATGAGGTGAGATAGCTTCATCGTACTCGTAACAAGGTTATCGGACAACTGGTATTTGGTTATGTAGAAGGTCGCAAAGACCACTTAGCACCGTCAGTGGTGGTGGCTCGACGATGTGCTGTGCATGCTGAAACATCGTCTACTGGGACAAGTGCCTTCTTCCGAATAGCGCAAACTGCAAGGTAGACAACGTATGACTTGGCAAAAGAGTATGAAGACCACGAAGTGCTTTGGCGTTTTTAGTGTAATATGACTTCCAGGATGGGACCTCTGTGACTACCCCCTATACTTTTTCGGAGCCATCGAAAGAAATGGCAGCTGGTCGGTATCAGTAGTGCTTGTGCTGTCTGTCTAATCGTTTGGAGATGTAGGCACCACATAAAGTAGCAGTAGGTTATCACTTGGTTCTCCCCTCATCTACCCTTTTCTGCTCTCTTCACTTTAGGCCTTTATGTAAGATTAATTAATCATTATGGCAGCGAGAGTTTGGTTCCAGCACATGTTTCTGATTGGTGACAATGACACTGAACAGACATCCATGAAGTCCGCGCTCACACTTTATGGCACTACAGCCCTTTAAGAAAGCCGAATCCACCATGACCGCTAAATGGATGCTGGACTGTGCAGATGCAGAGTGCACCTCTTTTGAACCAGATTGTTTGAAGTCGATGCATTTGCTTTCATCTTTGTTCTCAGAACCAGATTGTTTGAAGTCGATGCATTTGTTTTCATCTCGTTTTGTAGGCTGGGCCTAGGACAAGGCTAACGAACGGTGGTGTCAGTGGCATCTGGGAGGAACTGTCCACAAAAATTCTCGATGCCCACAGCAAAGCCAGATTAACTAACATATACAATGTAACTAGTCTTGACATACATTTGAATTTCTTGGCAAATCATCCTCGGTAAAAGCCAAGGGGACTCAGGGCTCATCGGATGATCTTTTTAGCGGAACTTTATAAGAACTGTGTAAGACCGGTTAAGACACACCTCAGCTATGTGAAGGCCTAAAAATCTGTGCAGCTATTGCTCCGCTTTCATTTGCCTTTGAACTCTAAATAGTGAGCTCACCAACTAACCAGAATATCCCTGCACCATTTCTTACCCTACGTTGGCACCTGTGGAGAAGGTGCTGTTTACCAATGGGAAAAACATTTCCGTGGTTCGCGCTGTTACCGTGCGAAACAAAAAAACAGTTGACGGTGACGACAGTTTGTGATGCTAGCTCCCTAGTCAGTTTTTATTGGTTTGTCGAATTCGACGGTAAAATTACGGTTGATTTGTACGCTAGGGTATCTGTGGCTCTTCTCTCTTTGTCCTTCTCTTAAGAACAATAGTTCAGCTTCTCCATTTCTCACCCAGTTTCACCCACTTCGTCTTATCACTGACCTTCCTTGATTTGTCTGACAAATCAACCACACTGTACACAGAAAGGGATGCAAATACATTCGGAAAAGTGTGAAGCCTTTATGCAAATGTAACGAGCTGTTTAGTGTCTACTGAAATCAACAGTTGTGGGTCGATGACGGAACTTGTAGGCAAGCCTTCAGAACCTCATAGTTGGAGACATACAGCTAAATTGTTACCTTTAAAAGACACCTCATACACTCAAATATATCTGACTCTGCACTTACTTTTGATGAACTTTAATGGTCCTTTGCAAACATCCAGCATAGATTATTATATTTTATATGCTCTTTGAGCACCAAGTCCAGTAGGATTACAAATTCAATTAACAAGGTGTTTATTGGAAATTTATGTACTACCTTAATACGCTATGTTAAACGTTACCGGAAAAGCCGTGAGAAACAGGTGCATAAATAGCTGTTCGCAAATTGCGTACAAAGTGGCAATGAAGTACTGAAATATTTTTTTTGCAAACTGACACGCCATTAAAACCCTTCGTTTGAATCAAACCTAGGTCATTTTGGTCTCCAAATGTGCTGTGCCTTCTATCCACTTCTTTCAGGGAACTATGTCTGCCCGGAATGAGCCGCTGTTCGTTTTGGCCTTTTATTCCGCCACATTACGGTATGCAAGCAAAATTTGCCAGATATTCTATATTCGATCCGTACCACTTGATTGATTATTTATCTGGTTTACTGATGGAGTTTGGTCGTCAGGTAACGTAATTTTTCTCTTTTCTTGTGCTACTGAAAAACGTTTTTCAAATAGTTACATTAAACTATTTGATCACACCAATAGTTTTATTTGTTTATTCTGCTATATGTCATGTTTTGACTTAGTGCACCTCAAACTTGTATCCTCTCTGACTGACGCAATGCGCACTTAAAAAGATCACTTTACATTCTCCAGTTCGATGGAGCGATGGCTGGTATCATGAAAACTTCACTTATTCATATACGGCAGATTTACGCTAGTCTCATCACGTGAACTTTGTCTAACGATGCTAACCCATAACTGACATACTGTTGGTTGAACGTAGTCCTGTGGGATTGGAAGGAATAGGGTTCGGGGTCTGTCACGAGGGGCCACAATGAAAAGTGTGGAAAGTTTTACCATTGTTCGGTAAGCTACTGGCTGAGTTTGTCAAATTTGTGCAAACACTTTACCACGAGTGGGGGTGCAGTCAGAGTGCCTGGTGGTTCAGTGGTTTGTCGTGTGGCCAGCCTCAACAAGCAGTCAAGCCATCGGCCATGGTGAAAAATTCGAAAGCAAAACAGAGAATAATACCCTTGTTGATTATTAATGTATGACTGCTTATCCACCGCTACGATAAAAAATTTTCAAGGAAGAATGCTTTTTTACCATCCGAAGGCAGTTTACTCGAACCATATCGAAACTATCTTGCCTTCCCAAAGAGTGCGCGTCCATTGAGTTACGACATTTTCGGACAGAAACCGGACCACTTTTTAGTTGCAATCTTCTCGGCAAACCCAATGGTCTAACGACAAGACTATTGGTTTTCACAGTGATGGTCTTGCGCTCGCCAGCTTCCAGCCCTCCTCCAAAGAAAGACGATGTCAAGAAATGGCCGGCTTAGTTGCTCAAGTCAAACATTACTTGTTTGCCATTGCTGTACAGTGATGACCACTAAACCTTCACAACTCAAGTAGTGATGACGACAGTCGTTCATCCGCAGTTTCCGTCCGATGCAAAGCGTAGTTGCAACCCGAAATAAAGACGAGGGTTAAGACGCTGTCAGGTTGCCCGAACCCAAACAGAATTTCCACCCACGACTCAAGTAGTGATGACGACAGTCGTTCATCCGCAGTGTCCTTCCGATGCAAAGCGTAGTTGCAACCCGAAATAAAGACGAGGGTTAAGACGCTGTCAGGTTGCCCGAACCCAAACAGAATTGAGTTCCACCCACGAACCTTCCCATTGGTCAGTCTGAAACTTAACTACTGAGCAATTTCGAGCTCAAATACAGAGGACCTAGATGGTTATAATTAAAAATAAACTAACTGGATGCTAATAGTGCAATTTTGTTCATCGGAGTATGTCGAGGTTTACTCTGTTTCATCAGTCTTACTTCACAGTTCATGAGTAAAATGCCAGAATCGTTATAAAATTTACCGCCGTTTAAAGCTTTAGGGCAGTTTTACTGGAAGATTTGGCAGATAATCTGATCTTCCAGGTATATGAAATACGGATGGGCTTTGAAAATTACTGAAATTTTTTTCTTGTCAACCTAAGCGCTGGATGATGGAACCACCCACTCAAACACGAGGGAAGTAGACGAGTTTGCAGAGGTAGGAAAAGAAGAGTAAACTGTCTTGAATACTCTTACCGACGAAGCAGTAGGACATGTCAAAGTTACCCTGTAAGTTATGCACTTACGGCTCTCTTATTTAATATTTAATTTTTTTAATTTAATAGTTTCATTTTTTAATTTTTAATTTTATTTTAATTTTATATATTTTATTTATTATTATTATTTTATTTAATATTTATATCAGATGCACCGGGTTGCCTTTTTGTCATTCGCCCCTAAAGGTATTGTCTCTGGCGTAATTGGAGAATATTCGTTACCTTGTGTCAATGAACATTTCCCTTTCTATGTCATTTGGTGCCCAAACAACGCATGCGGAAAAGCACCGAAAACCAACGGCCCTGACCCTGTGCTAGTTTGAGGAAAATGTTTTCGGAAAGAGAACTAGTGCATCTAAGAGTGAGAACGATTGCCTTCTGGATAAATTACCATAAATCACTCTTGGAATCGCTTTATTATGTCCAGTTACGCTAACCTTATCCATTGATCGCCAAACAAATTAGGATATAAAGGGTGAGATGTTTATTCTACCGCTCTGGAGGTTTTGCATCCATACGCCAAGAAAATACTACTATAGGTGCAGAATAACTGGTCATAAACATTGCTGAAATTAGGGGGATGGCTCAGTGGTTAGATCACGAATTTGCTGGCCGGAAGGTCCGCGGTTTGAAGTCAACCTTTGCATCTCGACTTTTCCTGTCTAGGCTTGCGCACCACCCTGACAGTATCCCAACCCTTGTGTCTCCTTCGGGTGGCATGGTAGTTAGGCACCGGGAGGCTGCTACAGCTGAACGATACACACATACATACTGAAATAAGGGGAGTTTATACGCATTCACCTCTTATATCACACAGTTGAGTTGGATAACCGAGACGCAGAGAAACTTAACTAGTACCAGTTCGTTCACGTATGATAAATAAGACTAGGAAATGGCGTATTGGTTATTTGAATAAATGAACCTGATTAATTCTTTACACCAGTCATGGTGACAACATCTTGGCAAGCCGCCGAGACGAACTAGTTGGCGCAGGTTATTCTGCATCGCTTTAAGAAATCTTAGTGCAGCACGAATAGTAATTTCTGGCAAACCTCAACACGTGCTTTTAAAAGAAAACAGAAAATAGTGAAATATTTGGGGGGTGGGGCAAAAGGAGGTGAGCAGGAATTTTAGATTTGGCTTTTCAAAATCTATATTCGCAGTCTTCCCTTGAACCGGATGCCGAAACTACAAAACCAGCTTGCATGATAGCTTGCTGTCTACTAACGAATGGAGGATATTATAAACTTGATGACACCCTTCATCCTATAGTCATCATGAGGAATACAATGGTTAAAAAGGGTTGCTAGATACCGATGTTGTCAAAAGTAACATTAGTTTTAGAATGTGAAGTCGAGCGTGGGGCGCCTGACCAAGGAAGGCTGGCGAAAAGCCGGTCGACAGTGGGCGCTACAACCCAGCATGAACAATTATTCGATGGAAACACTGTGAGTTTGACAATTTTAGCTCTGGGCAGGCTATCAAACTCAAGTGCCGTCAAATGGATACATGGATTTTAAAAGTTCCTGAATCCTTCTTCTTGCTTGCTATTAATTTTATACCGTGTGGCGCAAAGCTAATGCGTCCCAAGTAAGAACGCACCCAAGAAGCATTCAATTTCAGCCGGCTCGTGAAATTTTTTCGTTTTCGAGAGAAGTGCCGTTCACGTTCGGGCAAAGCAGCAAAAAGTTTTGATTATTTTTACATAAGAAGTTAACTGAAAAAAACTGTTTCATGACCTTGCACTCATCCGTTGTCCGAACCTTGTCAGTTTAATCAAACTGGAGGTTTGGAAGCTGCAAAGAAAACGAAGCGATCGAACGCTGAAGTGATTCCGTGGGATTTTCGTGATTCCGTCTGCCGTTTGCAGTAGTATAGGTATTTAAAAATCCACTATCCCGCCAAAACAACCGGACTTGTTTATTTTTATTATTTACCCGTAGACGTATGCTCGTGTCTGTCTTCGTGACGAACTTCCTC